AACAACATGTAAACAGACAGATATAAATATTTACGCTGGCACATCATGTTTAGTATTTCGATACGTTATTGCTTCGATGTTGATCAACAAGAATTTATCCAAAAGGAAACAATCATTTCTTACTTTTAATTATTTAATTTAAAATTCATTTTCTTATTAAATTCATTTTTAAACTGGGAAACGAGGTCATTTCCTTGGTATGTTTGAATGAAAGGTAAACTCACATGCACACACACACACATACACATATACACGCACACACAAACACACATACATACACACACATATATACACACGCATACATACACTCATACATATATATACAGACACATACACACACATATATATACACACACATACATACACTCATACACATATATACACACACACATACACACACATACACACGCATGTATACACACACATACACATACACATGTACACGCACACACATACACTCACACACACACATATATATATATACACATACAACACGCACACACATATGCTTTCGCACACACATGCAGATACTGCTAATTAAAATATAATAAAATAAAATATTATATAAAGTTAAATTTGTTTGCTTTCTAAAGAAATTTGTGTGGCGCGTAAAATCGTCAGTGTAAATATTAATGTAGTCGTTCATGGAGTTGTGTACGTGTCTGTGTGTATCTGTGTATGTGTATGTGTGTGTGACAGGATTTTCCAAATATGATATGATTAGAAATTAGACAATAATAATGAAATAATGATGATGATGATGATGATGCTGATGATGGTGATGATGAAATAGGAAAAGACGTTAAAAAATTTAACTTCTTGATCAAATTTTCCCAAGACTTAATTCTAGAAAGTGATTTAAGGCGAAAATTTTTGTAAAATGTCGAATAATAATAATAATAACAACAACAACAACAACAATAATAATAACAACAACAATGATAACAACTACATCAATGACAACATAAACCACAATAACAACAATTTGGAATGCACTGACGACGACATCAACTTCAACAACAACAACGAAAATGACGTCAGAAACCACACTAACAACAAACAATTAACAACAACAAAAACAACAAAAGATACTAAATCAGAGATACCATGTGACAACAACAACAACAACGTCATTTCAAACCACAAAGACAACAACAACAACAACACCAAAACAAACGGATTTTTCACAAACATTGACGGACCGGTAAAAATTGTTGACGCAACGAATACTCAACAACAACAACAACAACCAAAACAACTGTCTGAGAAAGACTTGTTGATCAAAAAAGTTACAAGATCTTTTTTATCACAACATCAACATCACAATCTCATCGTTTTAACCATCATCATTATCAATACTTTATTAGTACAAACAATTTTTTTTAACCGTTACATTTATATCATCATCATCATCATCATCATCATCGCCACCACCACCATCATCATCATCATCATTCAAATCGTTATCAGCACCATCACAATCGTCATCATCATCACCCACCATCATCATCATTATCATAACCACTCAGCCCCCTGTACCGTCACCCCCTACTAAGCCGACCCTGTCCTCATGTAGAAAATCGGTTAGGTGTGACATGAAGGCAGAAGATCCATTGCTACTTTACATAAGACAGACAAAGGTATCTATGTACGTGTGTATGTAGATGTGTGTTTGTGTGTGTGTATGCGTGTGTATGTGTATCTGTGTGTATGTGTGTGTATGTGTGTATGTGTATGTGTGTGTGTGAGTGTGTCTATCTGACTACCCAATCGTCTAACTAGCCGCTACCAGGTCCGCCAACAAAATGCACAATTTCGTCGTTTAAGAAGTCCGTATGTTGCTCTGCAATTTGCGAAGCTAAAGATAGGTTGGATATGCGGTTGAGAGCCTGTTATGATCATGGGTTAGTTGGTTGGTTGGTTGGTTGGCTGGCTGGCTGGCTGGCTGGCTGGCTGGCTGGCTGGCTGGCTGGCTGGCTGGCTGGCTAGCTGGCTGGCTGGCTGGCTGGCTGGTTGGCTGGTTGGCTGGTTGGCTGGTTGGCTGGTTGGTTGGTTGGCTGGTTGGTTGGTTGGTTGGTTGGTTGGTTGGTTGGTTGGTTGGTTGGTTGGTTGGTTGGTTGGTTGGTTGGTTGGATGGTTGGTTGGTTGGTTGGTTGGTTGGTTGAACTTTTGTAATAAAGCCGATAATGACGATGATGAATTTAGATAATTCTCTTACGTTTAACCAATCAATCAATCAATCATTCAATCAATCAACCAGCCAATCAATCAATCAGTCAATCATTCAATCAATCCATCTACCAACCAACCGGTCCATCAATCTTCACTTAACAGCCATTTAAAAGTTGTACAACGAACATCTAGCTAGTTAGATGATGATTCATCAAATATAATCCGACACTCGAGTTTAAACTGTTAAAATGAATTAAGCCGAACTTTAAAAAATTTAATTAAATTTAAATAAACAAATAGTAAAAATAATTAATATGATTTTTTTATTTCAAAATATTTATAACTATAATAATTTTATTCATAATTATGTAATAATAATATTATATTTTTCCGTTACTGCGCTACCAGAAACCAGTTTGACATCTCGGAGAGTTTAGTCTGTAGACAGGCTTGTACAGGTCCTGTGAAGGGATGCCCTTGTAAGTGTGTTGATAGGTGAGTTTCATTCATTTATTCTTTCATTATTAATCTGTTCATTCATTCGTTCATTTATTCGTTCGTTCACACGTTCGTTCGTTTGTTGTTCGTTCTTCAGCATTCACTCAATCAATCACCATCATCATTAATACAACCAAATCACCATCTTCACCATCATCATCCTCTTCATCACCATCATCATCCTCTTCATCACCATCATCAGATCTAGAAATGATAGTTGCTACTGCAACAAGCGAGGTGATGGTCCGGGCATACATTGCTCCACGTGGTTTAAGAGGGAACACCCCAGTAGCGTTAAGAAGCCCATATGTTAGTTTTTGCTGTTTGAAATTTATTCATAATTTAAGTTTTTATAATTCATTCATTCATTTGTTAATTCATTCGTTTATTTATTCATTCACTTATTTTTCCTAATTTTAATAGCCTAATTTTTTATCGTCCCAGTGGGAATCCATCTGAGAATGTCGAACGACGGATACGCCCGGATCAACGAATGCGGCATGAGATTTAATTCCTGAAACTAACAATTCCAGTTTCCGACTCCAAAAGATTTCGAATTTAATGCGATTTAACTATCAAATTTTCATTAAAATTTTGCCGTTTCGCTTGTTTTGTCGTTAAGTTTCGATGCTATTGTAACAGAGTGAAAGTAAATTAATAAAGTTTTATATTCGTATTGTATTGTATTGTATTCGTACTGTATTGTATTGTATTGTATTGGTATTATATTGTATTGGTATTGTATTGGTATTGTATTGTATTGTATTTTATTGTATTGTATTCATATTGTATTGTATTCGTAATATATTGTATTGTATTTGTATTGTATTGTTCGCTTTGTTTTGTACTGTATGTATTATATATATATATATATATATATATATTTATATGTGGAAAAATGTACTAAATGTACTATATTTTTCAAATGATTAAAAGTTAACTTCTAAAAGTCTCAATCATTTATGATCGTTCGTTGTTACTAATTTTTGTAACTTTTAAAACGTCAAAGTTTGAACTTTTTTCAAAGAAAACTCACTCAGCCGGTCGCATATTTAGACCTAGCAATCCATCAAACAAAGGAACAATCAAACGTGATGAATTCTTCAAGTCTGTTCTTTATTTTCAAATTGTTATGTTTTAATTTTAATTGAATTTGAGTTAACAACATTATGATTGATTGATTCAATTATATATTATAAAAGTAGATTAGCTAGATTAGCATTAGTAGATTCATTTGGTATTAGATTATCATTAGCTAATAATAATAATAAATATTAATTATATTATAATATAATAATATTATTAAAATAAAATAACATTATTATCACTACTCTATTCTATAATAATTTTATCATAATTATATTATGATAATAATTTATAATAATAATAAATTAATTTGTTAAAAACTTCAGAGGTGCTAGTAACAGGAGCATCTGGATACCTGGCTAGTCATGTTGTTAAGATTCTTCTTCAAGACGGCTATTCAGTAAGGGGCACTGTGAGAAGTTTGAAGAACCCCCAAAAGGTAGAGCCACTGAGAGATATTGAGAGGGCTTGCCCAGGTTGTCAGCCATTGGATTTGGTTGAGGCTGACCTCCTGAATGCTGAATCTATCAATAGGTTTGAGATTGGTATTAATTTATATATTTGGTTTATTCATTCTCCATTTTAATCCATTTTATTTCATTTCAACTTTTTCATGGTGGCTAGTTGTTATGCTGATGTTACAATTTGAATTTAGAGCTGTCGAAAGCTGCGAGTATGTAATTCATGTGGCCAGTCCGTTCCCGGTGGCCGAGCCCAAATCAGAGTCAGAGTTAGTGAAACCAGCAGTCGAGGGAACGATGAGTGTGCTGCAGGCATGTCGTCGTCACGGTGTCCGCAGATTGGTGCTCACTAGCTCCATTGTCTCTGTCATTGGTTGGTACAATTCTTCAAACAGGTCACACACAACAACAACATACAAACAAGGAACATACAAACAAACAAGGAACATACAAACAAACAAACAAACAACAACAAAAATTTCCGACCAGGTGATTTCGCCACATTTCCGGCAAACAAAGTAGTGACAGAAGAATGTTGGGGCTCTCCCGACGTCAAGGATGCTTATTTCAAAAGTAAAATCCTCGCCGAGAAAACTGCCTGGGACTTTGTGAACAATCTACATGGTTGGTTCCTATCAATTTGAATTCACTTTTCATCAAATATATATATATATATATATATATATATATATATATATATATATATATATATATATTCAACACTACTTTCAACATTGTTCAACTTTTTTATATTTAATATAAAAAAGTTGAACAATGTTGAAAGTGGTGTCGAATTTTTGAAATGTTGCATTAACAACAGTCTGTTGCCAAAATATATATATATATATATATATATATATATATATATATATATATATATATATATATAAACTTTGCACCAAAGATACAGATAAGTTTGAACTAGCAGTCATCAATCCTGGCCTGATACAAGGACCGCCATTGTGTGGTGGAGATGCCACCAGTTTTGAGGTTCACTCGCTCGTTCACTTTTAGTTGCTTGTTCACTCTTTGTTGTTTGTTCATTTGTTCGTTCATTCAGTTTTATTTCTTTGTTTGCTCTGATTTTGTAGTTAAAATCGATTACATTCGCAATTAAATATCCAACTCAGTATGCAAAGAAAATGTTGGAAAGGGAGATGCCTATATTGCCGAAGTTTAACGTGTGTGTTTGTGACGTGCGTGATGTGGCCCTAGCGCACGTGAGGGCTTTAACTGTTCCTGAAGCTGCAGGTGTGTGTGTGTGTGTGTTGGTGTGTGTGTGTGTGTATGTGTTGGTGTGTTTGTGCGTGCGTGTGTCTGTGCGCGTGTGTGTGTATATATGTTTGCTTTAATATGTCTCCTATCATTTTTAATTTATTAGGTCACCGTCATATCATATCTACTGGCTCCTATTGGCTGAGAGATTTGGCTATCATTTTGAGGGAGGAGTTTTATAAATATGGTTGGTTGAGGGATGATTAGCTGATTGGTTGGTTGGCTGGTTGATTGTTCATCAGGCGGATTCATTCAATATCTGAAAGATTCATTTATCGATCAATCAATTTATATACTTGAATTTTACTGCTTTATTCAGACAGCCATATAGGCCCACATACCCATACATACAAACACACACACACCTTACGCACACATACATACACACATATACATACACACACACACATGCATACACACACACACACACATATACAAAAGGTTACAACGTTCCGACAACAAACAGTCCAAATTTTCTAATGTGGATGGCCTCTTTCTTCGATAAGGTGGTCAGTAGATTGCTGCCCATGTTGGATAAGTACATGGATGTCAATAATGATAGGGTTTGTAAGTGTGTGCGTGCGCGCGCGTGTGTGTGTGGGTGGTGTTTTTTACCTATGTATGTATGTGTTTGCTTAATAAAATATGCATAGATTTTATCATCAATAAATGAACTTAAATGACTTTATCTGCTGTCTATCTATTCAGTTCTTTCATTCATTCATATATCAGTTTTTCACTCACTCAGTCACTCTCTCACTCATTCAGATGGTGAAAGTTCTAGGGGTGAAACCTACCCCCATAAAGCAGACGATGGTCGAGATGGGGCACGCCCTCATACAGAAAGGCTTCATAAGGAAGACATCAAAGTATGACCCAAGACCCCAATCAAAATTGTGATGTGTGTGTTTGTTAGTGTGTGTGTATGTGTTTGTTTATGTGTGTGTCTGTGTGTGTATTCAGTGTGTATGCGTGAATTAATCGTTCTGTTTAGTTTAAATACATTATACATACAAGCATACACGTATGCAATTATGTACCTTTTTTTTAAGTATTTATTTATTTATATTTAATTGTAAATATTGGCACATTAACATATATTGTATAATTACCACATATATATGTACGTGTGTTTATTAGTATTACATTTATCGTGTTAGGTAATAAGTTAAGAGCGTGCAAGTTTTACAATTGATCCGTATTCTAACAGGGTATTCACAATTCCATTGCTCGGTCGTGGGTTTTTATAAATGCATTCTCCGAAGAATGTCGTATTTTATTGTGTAAACTTGTTTTTCATTCTCGCCACACTCAGCGTATTGTTTTTGTTTACTAATTTTAGTTAATAATTTGTTAATTTATTTATTTAAATGTGCTTTTTTTTCGTACGCTTATTCATCATAAAGATTACAGACAAATGAATTGTAATATATCGGAAAATTTTATTTTTGTCTGGAGAGAATATTATACACAGATAGATTGAAGAGGACGAACGAACGAACAATTATATGAATGAATAAATGGATGGATGAATGAATGAATGGATGGATGGATGGATGGATGAATGAATGAACGATTAAATGAATGAATGAGTAAACTGATTTTATTTATAGACAAAATTTTATTCATCTCTTAGTGTTATTAAGAGTGATGATGAGTTAAACACACCGATGATGATGACAATGAGGGCATGATTGGCGTTAAAATTACGCAGTTAGAATGAAATAATAATTAGAAAATAAAAAAAGCAACAAAGGTAATATATAAATTTGTGTTACTGTTCGCCGCTAAACTCGCGCTACATAATATCTCAAAAACTCTAGTGTAAAAACGAGGACAAGGCACATCCCTGTTACGTCATAACGGGTTCGTGACGTCAGCGTGGCACGTGATACAGTTCCTCCCTCCAATGGACAGTTGGCGCCCTGGCATTCGGACGTTTCTGATTGGTTGAATAATATTGATCGATCACTTCCAATTGGATGATCAATTGATGGCAAATGATTGGTTGATTGACGAGTGACTGGCGAATGTGTGTGAGAAAGAGAAAAACCGCAAAAAAATAAGGAAACAATAGAAAGAATATGACAGAACCCAACGACTTAACTAACCAAAGACAGTGATATTATACTGGCTGGTACCCAATTTGTTCGTCCCCTGGCAAATGTAGTTCCCGTAATCGTTGGCCCTGACGTTGATGATGGTCAGCTGGTACCACACCTGCTTGGACGCAAGTGTTATGGGCGAAATATGGTGGTTTTTTGGTGTGGTTAGGGTTAGTTTTTATAACTTCGTAAATCTAGTTTTTGATATTTATGAATTATTTCATCTCCTTATAGTTTAATGTAATTTATTTCATTTATTTAACTGTTCATTTGTTTCAATGTTTGGCAATATAGTTCGCTAATTTGATAAAAGTTTAATACATCTATCCACACAATCAATTATTTGTTCATTCATTCATCCTCATTCATCCATCCTCTCAATTATCCATCCGTCAATCCATCCACTAACTTCCGATATTCCTAATTGTTGTCCGTGCGAGAGCATCTGGTTGATGATGTGGAAGTCGTCATCGATGATGGGCTTGTACTCCAGGCGGTCTATCTTGTACCAGTTCATATCAGGAGGTGGGTAGCCTGATGTCCGGAGCGAGGAAATGAAAGAGAGAGTGAGATGGAATGAGAGAGAGAGAGAAAATGAGTGAAAGAGAGAGAAAATGAGTGAAAGAAAGAGGGAAAAATTGATGAATTAATATATTATTTTCGAATGAGAATGAGACAGAAAGCGAGTGAAAGTAGAAAAGAGCAACAGTTGATCAAGCAATCAGTTATTCAACAACAAATAAAAGTAACAGAAAGCTGACTACCAGCCAAATTATTTAACTTATCAATCAATTTCAATCATTCAATTCATCAGACAGACCCAAGCAGCTAACCAATTTATCCATCCAACCAACCAATCCGTCCAACCAACTAATCCGTCCAACCAACCAATCCATCCAACCAATCCAACCAACCAATCCATCCAACCAATCCATCCAACCAATCCATCCAACCAATCCATCCAACCAATCCATCCAACCAATCCATCCAACCAATCCATCCAACCAATCAACCAAACCAACCGGCAACAATGCAATCAATTGTAACGTCAAACAGCCTATTAGCAGCCTGTCCGTAGGTAGACTGAATGGGCCTAGAGATCGGCTTGAAGTTAACATAGACCGTGGTGTCGTAGGTGGCCAGGGGCCGCACGTTGTTATCGGCGATGCACCTGTACATGCCCCTCGAGCTCGCCTCGACGTTCACAAGTTGAAGGACTTTTCCCTGTGTTAATGAAGGAGAGATAATGAGAGATCGAGAGGAAAGAGAGAGGTCGATTGTGCGAGAAATATTGAGAGAGAGTGTGAGGGAGAGAGAGAGAGATAGCAAAAGAAAGAGCTCGAAAAAGAAGAGAGAGATTCACAAGAAGAAAGTAAGAAAGTATTAAGAGCTAAAAGCTAAGAGAGAAAGAGAAAGGAGTGTTGTCGGGTAGTTTTGTTGTTGTCAATTTGCTATCATCAATACTTTTCTTTGTAATTGCTCTACTAATGCATACATATATCTACAAACCCGATGCATATATTTGTTGTAAGGGGGTGGCAAGGGACTGCCATTGACTCGGACCCAAGAAATATTTGGCGTGGGGTAGCCAACGGCGTCACAAGTCAAGTTGACACTACCGAATTCATTCACGTTCACCGTCTGTGTAGTCACTCCTTGCTTTATCGTCGGCGGTACTGATGATGATGACATTGTGATGATGATGATGTTGTTGTGATGATGATGATGATATTGTGATGATGATGATGTTGTTTGGATGATGATGATGATGATGTTGTGATGATAATGATGGCTAAGAGCCTCATTTTTGCGACGACGTTGATGATAACGATGATAATGATTGAAATTTTAATAAACTTAAAACATTCGTACCATACTATCATCATCACCATCCTCATCAGCATCATCATCACCACCACCATCATCATCACCACTGACTCAATACTACGATCTCTCCATCCTTTGAAGGCTTGATGGATGCTCCAGTCACGATAACTGAACAAGTGTAGTTACCTGCAAATCGTTTATTACGTTAATCTTTTACGTCATCAGTCACGTGATTCGTGAGGTCGAGTCACGTGACACGTGAGGTCATTTGTTGCGTCAGCATTATGTCATTACTATGTCAATCAGTCAGGAAAACCTTAAGCCTAAAGTATCACATTCTACACATCAAAACACAACAAATAGGATTAGCTTTAAATTCGAGCCATGTAACTGCAACCTCCTGTCAGCTAGGAGCTCTAATTATTGCAGATTACTTCAGTACACTACACCGTCCTGACGTTACAACATTGGCGTGCGATGAATGACGCAACGAGTGACGCAACGAGTGACGTATTAAGTGGTAATTTGTCAATTTTGATTTGTTTACAAATAATCATACACACATACACATACACACGTAGACTAACACACACATACACATGTAGACTAACACACACATACACATGTAGACAAACACATACATACATACATACATACATACATTCAAACATACATACATACATACATACACAAACAATATTTAACCAGAATCAGATATAACCAATCTTCTGACAATGAGTGTGTATATTGTTTGATCTCCAGACACCTAAGTAAGAGTAACATAATGATTATAATGATTCAGCCGTTTCTTCACTCCTTCATTCATTCATTCATTCATTCACTCTTTTATCCATTCGTTGTATAGAATAATGATTACTAATACTACAAAATCAACAAAATATACTACTACTTCGCATCTGTAACAACGACAAAAGATGACGAAATGACCTTCTTGAGTACATCGAACTTCAGTTGTCCATCCAAGCGTTCGTTGATTGTGTTGTCCACTTGAACTCTATCATCTGTTGAGATGATCAGCTGATCGGATTTTCGAATCCAGTAAACCTGATTGTGATTTTGATCGTGATGATGATAGTAATAATGATGGTCGGTCAGATAGTCTTTTAATTTCGCATTCATCAATCCATTAATCTGTTCATTTATTCAGCCATTCATTCAATCATTCATTCATTCAATCATTCATTCGTTAATTCATTCGTTCATTTCTTCATTTATTCTTTTATTCATTCATTCATTGGACCTTATTAATTCCCTGCCTGGTAACAGTGCAATTGAGATAGCCCGTCATTCCGACCCTTTTGATTTCAGGCCATATTACTTGAGTTATGGCCGGCTGGTCCTGAGTTTCAGCTTTCAATCAAATTAATTTATGGATAAATTTGAATTTCATTCAATTTTAATTGGTTGATAGAGTTTGATTGACGCATTCGAACTGGATTGTTGTTTAATAATCAAAAATTAACAAAAATGAAATAACGTGTTTGATCAGTATTTTTTTCTAAAAAATTAACTATAAAATAATAAATATATAACGATTTTCATGAAAAAATAAACGTATGATCAATAAAATCATTACGAATTTGTTAAAATTTGCAACCGAAAAGAAAAACCAACCCGGTCGAATAAATAAAATAGCAATCAAATTGAAGAGAAGCAATCGCAAGAACATGCTTCGAATGTAAACTTTTTTGGAATAAATCAGTCAATCTTTGAAAACTTGGAAATGATAAATTAAAAATTTAATAATTAAATTGAAGCTTTTAGTGCAAAAGTCGACGCAAACGTTTAAAATAATCGTAATATTTCATATTTTAATGTGAATCAGTTTCAAAACACAACTCAATCAAGAATTGAAAGGTAAATTTTTACCTGTATATTTTAATAATAATGTGGAGCTATATTATGAATATATTTTTAACGTTTTTTGCAATTTTAACAAAATTTAACAAATTAATATTACAAAAAATTTTTATTTTAAATTAATTTAAAGATTAAAACATATTAAAAAACTGATATGTGACGTTTAAAGGTTTAATCTATAGCTCATACTATATGCATCACTAAAAGTAAATTATAAACTTAAGTTCGCTTTTCTTTTTATGCAAAATTACATGAAGCATAAATGTCATATAACTATGTTCAAAGTTTTGCAAAACTGAACTGCCTAATTTTTATTTAAAAGTTTGCCTTTTATAGTTTAGTGTTAATTGAGAGTTTTCTGGGTTTGTTTCCAATTTGAACTTGAAAGGTAAAGTTTTCTTGTTTGAAACTTATTTTTAAAAAGTTTAGATTTTATTAAAAAATAATTTTTTTTAATTTTACTTTTTTCTTTTTCTTTAGTTTTTTTATTCTAATTACCAAATTATTTTTAATTAAAAAAAATTAATAACTAAACAACAATTTCAGTTGTTAATGTTTAATTTAATGGTAACTTAATTTAATTTAAATTTCCTTTGTCCACTTTGTCTTTAATTAATTTTTTTATTTAGTTTAATAATTAATTAATTAATTTATTAAATTATTTAATAATTGAAAAAATTATAAATTTTAGTTATAATTAAATATAAAAAATTATTTAATTATTATAAATTATAAAATAAACTTCAGGAAGAAAATAAATAAAGCCAGTATGCCAGCGAAAAAGAAACGGCCCCATAATGAAGAGTCTACTGGAGAAAATTACGGAACCAAAAAATCTAAATCATTCTGTGAGCCTTCTGGTAGGATGTAAGTGAAGTTGAATTTATTTTTATTTATATACAACATTCATATATGTTATAAGTTATATATATTAATATGTGTGTGTGTGTTTGTGCTGTCTTTGGCATGAATATTACAGAGTATACGTATCATATAGAAATCTAATTATAGAACCAGTCGGTTCACCTTAGAATTTAAAAGAAAGAGAAATATTTATAATCATCAGTACATATAAATATGACAAAATATTTATTTCGATTCATTTTAATACTTTAATATAAATTAATTTAAAATAAATTAATATTAATTTAAAATAAATTAATACTTTTTTAAAATATTTTTTTCTGACAGCAAACAGTCTGGTAATAATAGTCATTTTAGCCAAGCCAACTGTATTCAATGGTTTAATCAGTACACAATGAGTGGGCATATTATTTTAATTATTATTATATTAATTATCTTTAATAATTATTCTCATTATTATTAATAATTATTTGTCAAAGGTATCAACAACACGCACGCACACACTCATGCACACATACAACACACACAGAACGTGTGAGCACTTACAAATCAATGCATTACATATTAAATATTTGTGGATTATTATTATTATTATTATTAGATGGTTATTATTATTATTCCTAATATTATTTGTTATATTGTAATCCATTTTATTATTTTATTTTCAGTTTAATTATTATTTATTTTTAATTTTTTTTTTAAACTTTGCAGAGGAAGTAAACATGGGACCTGAAGGCATGGAGAAATTGTGCAGAGATCTGAACATCAGTCCTAATGATGTTGGTTCCTTTTTTTTCTTTTTAAAAACTTTTTTTCAATTTCACTGGCATTTCAATACTCTAACAAACACACACACGCACGCAAACACGCTTTACACACACAAGCATACACATACATACGCACGCAGATTGTCATGCTAGTCCTGGCACATATGATGAATGCAAAGTCAATGGGCTATTTCACAAGAGAGGAGTGGGTGCCGGCTATGGTTCAACTCCGGTCTGTCAGATTTACTACATTATAATATTATCATTTCAATTATTCATTGTTACTTATCTCATACTATGTGCATTGCTCCTTCACTATTTTCTATTTATTACATATACTATGTCGCTTTCATTTCTATGGAGTTTTGGTTTTAACTTGCACAATCAATTTAAAAAATAAATTTTTCACATGATGTGATGGGCAGGGTTTTCTTTGCATTTGAACATGGTCATTGCAACGTCTTAACCATTACACTATCGTTTTTACTATTTCAAAAACGCAGTTGTGACAGCACAGAAAAGCTGAGAGAGAAGCTTCCATATCTGAGAGGACTTCTAAGAGATCCACAGACGTTTCAATCCATCTATCGATATGCTTATGGTTTTTCACTGGTTATTATCTTCTTTGCGTGTGTGTGTGTGTCAGTCATTTGTACGTGTCTGTGTGCATGAGTCTGTGTATCTAAGAAGTGTGTCTATCCGTGTGTGTGTGTGTGTTTGTGTGTGTCTGTCATTACTTGTGCACTATGATCTTCTCCTGCTGCTTAAAAGGTAATACGTACATCCAACAAATTCAATTTATAAAATATAACAACGATATGAATTTACGATGGTAAATAAATTATAATATTATAAATAATGAATAAATAAGAATTTTTTAATAAATAAGAAATAAACATTTTTTGGGGATCGCAGGAAGATGGGTGCAAGAGCCTCGAACTGTCGACAGCCATCTCCATGCTGACCATCCTTCTACACGACCGCTGGCCCCTTCTCCAGTATTTTTTCACCTTTTTAAAAGTGAATTTCTGTTTCCGTTTTTTTTTTTTTGATTTTTGTCTGAATTATCTTTTTTTTGTTGTTTAGTGATAATAATAGTTCGCGGTATGTGTGTGTGCGTGTGTGTAGTTGCGCACCCCACCCAGCATTTGTAAACACGTGGAAGTTTTTAGACGCGTTTGAGTGCTTATAGTGAATGTTTCATTTATTGATTAGCGCTAACATTTATGATAATGTTTATCCAATTCGTAATTCACTTTTCATGATTCCATAATTCAAAAATATAAAAATAATGTCCCAGAGGTAATGAAAATTCGTGAGTGTAGGAACGCTTGTAAAGGAGTGTATTGACTTTGGTCGGCGTTTACAATAATTATTATTATCAAACTCATAATTCACCGTTCATAACTCACAACTTCATAATTCACCATTTTTAATCTCATTTAAAAATATAATTAGAGTTCCAGATACAAATTTCTCAGCAGAGACCAATGGAACAATCTTTTAGAGTTATCTAGACAAGTGCTAACTGATCTTTCAAACTATGAAGAAGACGGTGCATGTAAGTTCATTCCATCAGTCATTTATGTCATTCATTCTTTCATTCATTTCTATCTCTCTAACCATCTATCGATTTTTTATTCATTTATTCATCTCTCTTGTTCAATCAACCAATCATTTATGTCAACCACTTAGTTCATCCGACTGTTCATTTGTTTCATTCTTTTATTCGTCTATCTATCAATCAATATCAATCATTTTTTCCATGTCATCCACTGACCTACCTATATTAAGTACGATATACATGTGCATCGAGTTACACAACCGCATATTAATGGTACGAGATTTTAAGATATTCATTAACACACAGGGCCAATTATGATAGACGAGTTCGTTGAATGGCTGAGAAGAATGGCAAGTACTCCCTCAATGGACACCGCCAGTGGCTTGCCGCCTTTTTAGCCAATAATAATGAAGATGACGATGAAACATGTGAATAACTGACTGATTATATGATGTATGTCTGCTTAGGTACTACTTTTTTGCGTGTACATGTATATGTTCGTTTCCAAGTTTAATAGTAAAGATTATCTTGCGTGTGTCAAAATCAAAGGTTTTGTTGTGAATTTGTTGTGAGTGATGTCATCTGGGGTACAGTTTTGAATTTTTTGGAAGTATGGAAGGTTTCGAAGATCGATCTAAGATGTAGCGGCGAACTGCTAGCTATACCGTTAAATTAATTAATGTTATTTCTTGAGTGACATGTGAGTCAGACGATCTGCAGTCTTACATTAAGGCCCACTAAGTTCATTTGTTTGCAGTTTTTATGCGACTCGTTCATTGTAACAGCTGTTTGAACGTCATTCAGCAACAACTCCTGTCAAACATTCTATTTTTACTCGGTTTACAGATGCTGACAAAACTTTCGATGTTTTCAGCATTGTACACAAATTAAATGACAGAATTCCTATTATTTTAGGAACAAATAGTCAACGACGTTTCATACACACATGAGAATATATAGCGTGGCGAGCGAACAAGGCATATGTACATGTGTCCGGATTCATTAACATTAACATAGAACGTCCTTCAGCAGAGAAATCCATATCGCTTGTTGTAACCAGCAAAAAGGTAGAGGTGAGATGAAGACAACGTGAGCTGTTGTACGCGTTTGCGTGTGCACGTCATTTAGTACCAGTACATCCTCCCCGTATGTATATTTCGTTGCAAAAATCATTCAAGGGACGTACTACTATGCAATCCTCTGTACTCTTGCATTAATTAGATATACTTCATTTCGAAAACACTTTCCACGAATTATAAACTTTCTAATTAAAGTGCTAACACACACACACACATATATATATATATATATATATATATATATATATATATATATATATATACACAATTCTGCAATACAGCAGTGTAATATATCGGACGAATGCGAAATGCGTCACTCACACGCACTCGAACGTGGATTCACATTTCAAGTGTTTTGCCCATTATACTCGCACTTATATGTCTATATATTATTGTGTGTGTGTGTGTGTGTGTGTGTGTGTGTGTACTTATACACGTGTGTGTGTGGTGTAAACGTATTTTTTAATAATAGTTAAGCCAGTTTATTTTACTTCAAACAAGACTGTTATAAATTGTGTTTATTAATTATAATAAGAAACAAATTAAGATGTGTTTGTGTGGCGGTAGAAGGCAGTTTATCCAATTAGAATTAGATGCTAAATTAAATCAAAATTTTTTAGATCAAATTTGAAAACTTTAAATACCAATACTTAATTTAAATTTTAAAATATTTAATTAGCAACTATACACTCGTCAAATATAGGAACTTTACTTAAGATTAACAACGAATTTAAATAAGAAATGCGCAGAAACACATCATCATTCGATGATAATTCGCATTATACATCCTTTCGAGCCAGTGAAGTGAAGTAGTAACACAATCGAGCAGGCACAAACATTACACATAGACAGCTTTGGTACAACGGGCTATATACGTGTTGCACGCAAATATACATGCATTTTTAAACATATATGCAAATACACATGTACGAACATACACGCTGCGCATATATTGCTTTAATATTATACTGCGCAGTACTTCGTTCTATCTAAGGATAAGTCGAGTACATTGTAAAATGAAACCAATAAGCACGTGTGAATGATACAAACAAATCTAGAACTCTAAACGAAATTAAAAAATAGTTGTAATATTAACCCAAGCCAATCGAAAAAATGGGTGAAACAACTCGTAAATCTAACGAAAAACTACCTTTCCAATCTATAGAGAACACAGCGAAAGAAGACTACAACACGAACCGAAGCTCAACAAACAAATCCTCGCTGCACAACAGCTAGCCCGCCGCTTTAAATGCTCAACTATCATTGGTCGACGTCAACCTGACGTCACACCCAGCAAACATAATGAATGATAATGAAATGTGCCAGTATACCAGTATATGTGTTTCGAATCTTTGTTGTTATATATTTTTTCATGCACATGTGCGCTATATATGCGCCATATATTTGGTACATTCGAATGAAATGTATTGTATATCATGTGTGTACGTGTGATGTAGAAATACACACACGAGTATATTTTATTATGTAAATGTTTGTAAGCATGCTTATATACATACACCGAATGTTAGTATATACTAGTTTACATCGTTGTTTTGTAGAAATTTTACGCGTGATACATTTCATAAATTGCAAAATATTACTTTTCAACGTTACTCTCGATAATATAGTTATAAATTTATTTCTATTCGATTATTTTTATCAAGATTAATAAGAGCTCTGTTTGGTACCTTTCATTAGAATTTGAAAAAAATTATTAATAATAGTAAATAGTTTTACGAATAAATTCATTTTTAAAAATATAATAAATAATCAATGTCCTTCTCCGGCCATGAATATGTTCGTCTCTAATTGATTTCTAAAATGTTGAATTTGTTTCGAAGGGAGGATGGTACGCGAAACTAGATATTTACTCGTCGGAAACTTACCACAATCGATCAGTGAAGAACGAATTTTGGATCATTTTAACAGGCTAGAATAAAAATAAATAATATAATAATAATATGTGTCATATAAATAAATAGAATCGTGTATGTCTGTATGTTAAAAATCACGTAAATTAAAATTAAATGGCTCTCCGGCTCGTTTGACTCTTCTCTTACATTACAACTTACACGGATTATCTGCTACAGCTACACACATGATATACAGTACACGTTTTGTATGATACGATAGCAACGGAAAATCAAGAGGATTGCATTCGACGGCCACTTATTAGGATTAAAACTGGTTGGATATTATATTAGGATACATACTCAACTCACACAGTAATTTTTGTGCTTTGAAATCAGATTAAATTTAGGATTCGGCCATTTTCGGATATGCCTCATGATTAAAATTTAAATGGATATCATTTTTAATATTAAAATATGGATACTTGCACATGGCTTCTTTATTTTGGATATTTTTATCTCTAAACTAAATGGATAACTTGACTAATACTATCAAGTTGATGCCCTATCATCCTCTGCTTTGCTGGTCAACGTGCTGTCATCTGTGCTTTCGCATGCATACTATATAAATTTGCTAATAAATAGTATTTAATATTTCTTATTGCCATTTTAAATATTTAAATTAGTTAATTGATTTAAATCAGAATTTTAAATTCAATTAATTTGCGTAATTAAGCAGTTTTATAGTTTAATTAATATTAAATTAAAATGCACGTGTGTGTGTATGTGTTTGTGTGTGAATGTTTTGAAGCTCAATTCACAGAGTCGGTAGTTACTATTAGTTAGTAGACAACTAAACCAATTTAGCAAGGAAATTTTCGATAAACTTTTAAAAATATTTATTTAAATATTTTCATTAAAATAATTTTATTTTTTAAACTGAATAAATAATCACATGATATTGAGACTGGCTGTTATAGTAACCACATTTATTTAATATATATTTATATAGATAGTCATTCCTTCATATAGATATACATATGTTTCAAATGTTCATGCCTACATGCATTTATGTATGTATTGTATTTTATATATACAGCAATATACTGCAATGGGTAAATGAATTATATAAGCGAGTGTGTGTGTGTGTGTGTGCGTGCGTGTATGTGTGTGTGTGCATGTGTGTATTTCATCAGGATTAAAGCTCTTAATGGCTATTATAATTCATATATTGTTAGAAAATTTCTATATCCAAACAAATGCCTATAAGATAGATGTATGCATTTATTTAGTTAGAGTGAGTGATTATTTATTTGCAAACTATTGTATGCACTCTATTTCTCTATGCTGATCATCAAGTCAGTCTGAGTTGAACTTTTAGTTAGATGTAATTGAGAAAAAATGTTTTGACTATACAAACAGGATGTAGTATTTGTAGGCTGGCTGCTGTGGTTGTTGTAGCTGCTACTGTGGCTGCTAGTGTGGGTTTTATTATTATTGTGATCACCCAAGTTTTTAAAGTTATTGCTTATAATCGATAATGTAATAACAATAACTGTAAGGATAATGTAATAACAATAGCTGTAATTTATCATTACTGTGTAAAGCAAGCTAGCCAGATAGCTGTGATGGCATAGTTGAATGGAGCTATGGTTCAATGATGATCAATAAAGGTTGAGATTGGTGTATATAATATGCATACTTTAATCTTGAATTCATTTTTAATTTTTCTCTATAAATATGTATATATAATATAGTATGTGTGTATATACGTGTGTGTGTGTGTGTGTGTGTGTGTGTGTGTGTGTGTGTGTGTGTGTGCTCTTGTTAGTTATATATATGTATGTGTGTATATATATATATGTGTGTGTGTGTGTGTCAAATGTGTTTCTGTATAAAATGTGTGTGCCTGTGTATGATAAAAGTAGAAAATGTTTCCTCCAAGTTTTAAGCCAGGGTTTAGTTTTAATTTTCAACAGAAGTGGCATCTCTTACTTTCTCAGGTACCTCCACTCCAGACCTTCCCACCACCACATTTCTTCATCATGTTGCATCGAAGAAAGGTATTAATAGTTTCAGGTGTTGTGTCTTTTTGATGCAATCTTCATCCTGGATCAGACTCAAGTTTCTAAATTTTCAGACTTAAATTCTGTATTTGATTATGTTGTCTTATTTACATTAAAAAAAAACTCTCTAACTCTACTACTAGACTAACTCATGTGATAACTGCTCACTTATCTTTGCAAACCACATTTGTTTATTTGTTTGTGTGTGTGTGTGTGTGTTTATTATATTTATTAATTTATATTGCTATGCTTTATATTTTTATTGTGTGTCAATATCTAGGTTTGCTGTCACTGCTTGTTTAAATATGTATATATATATATACACGTGTGTGTCTCTGTGTGTGTGTGTATCTATGATATCTTCTTGTTTGTATTTACAAGATAGTTTGGTTACCAATAGAAGCTTGGGATGATATGCATGTAATCATGTTTATATATATATATATATATATATATATATATATATATATATATATATATATATATATATATATATATATATATAGGAAGTTTATTAATTGTATTTATATACGTTAATTACATTGAAATTATCCATTAATTTTCTTACGTGTTGTTTTGCCAAAATGAGTTAGAAGGTATGTGATTTTACTTCATTCAGCAAAATGTTCTTCAAGAAAAGAGGTTTGAATAGTCAGGTAGTGGGTAGATGTGCTTGTCGTAAGATAGTAAAACTATGGCTCGCAAAGGCATCTTTGATGCTTTTTTTAAAGTGTGTTTCTGCAGGTAAAACATTTTTTCATAGCTTCTTAATGATGAACTCATGATGAACCGATTGGGCTGTTTGGGCCAATTATATTTTTGATAAAAAATTAGTTTGTGTACATTTTGTTGTATGTGTGTCTGTTTGTATGTACACGCACATACATATACATCTCAAACACACGCACGCATATACATATATATATATATATATATATATATATATATATATATATATATATATGTGTGTGTGTGTGTATATGTTTCACTGTTGGAACTTCAATTCAAGCAAGAACTACACGCCACACGCCGCTTTTCTATGCCCCACCAACCAGAATTAAAGTACTCTGCATGATTAGTTTGAAACACACCGGCCCAGGAATATGGGAGACGATTCCACAAGACATTAAAGATTGTAACACTTTGCATCTTTTTAAAAATAAACTGAAAAATTTTTTAAATACGAAAAGTTCTGTTTTTAAAGGATAAT